ATAAGTTGTAACTTTTGCACCTTTGTACGGTCCCCAGATCACTGAAATATGTTKATGTTATGAGCAATGAACGTCATAAATCATAATATAATTCCTAAAAAATAAAAATAAAACAATTTCCACAGTTTATCCCCCCCAGCTTAACCACACTATAACACGTGTATCGTGATGTCGTTTTATCTTACAGGTGATYATCAATGTCAATGAGGATCGAACGTTTAGTCCAACAGCAGTACCGCGGATTGAAACTACAGTAACAGCCGTGTCAGTGCAAGTCTCTATCACACCTCAAAGTGTTGAACATCACAGTTGTAGTAGTTTCTATAGTTTCTTGTATTTGGACATCATATGGTTGTCTATATTAGCAATCTGTATGATAATAATCCTTAGCATTTATAATGCATATTTTATTTCCGGTCGTTATCACAGTATCATTAACTAACGTGTATGTGTATCTGAACACTGTCCATTGTTATAGTATGTTGTACTTCACTGTCAAATGGCCGTCAGGTTGGCACCGATGCCGGCACATTTTGTACATCAATATTATATAGGTAATACTTAACATGTAATATGGTGTATTGTAAATGTATGAATAAATTGTTATTATTTTTTCTCGATGACAAAGCTGTAGTGTTTTAAATATTCATCACGCTGATGGTTATATTATACGTAGGTAGGTTCGAGAATTGCAAATGTTGAGCTTATATTATTTTAAATGTTTTTGAAAAATTGACGATTTACACAAATTGATTTGATGTAAAACTGGACATGGAAAATTCTAATAATTTAAAGGTAGATACTTACTTTAAATTAATTATATTATATTTGGTCTTTGGTATGTCTAGAATTTAATTACAATGTTCATCGAATACCTAACRTGGTTCTAGTATCGTTAGGTTAGGTAGTAGAATATGAGTAAATTTGAGGCTAAAAATACCAATTAACAATTAACACATATTAACATAATTTATTATATTTACAAGGGGGGAGGGTCAAGGAATTTTTATGGGACTATGTTCTCAAATCAAGTTAGATACTTTATGTGAGTGATCTATGCTGCCCGGGATTATACGGAATATCATAATTTCTATGTAAGTGATTCCGTCGAAACATCCATCGCTAGGTACTTTAAAAATAATAAAGAATAGGCAAATAGTWAAAAAAATGTCATATAAATTCGTATTATTTATTTACTACGAATATTGCCGGKACTAAGGATTCTTTCCACAAAAGAAACTCGTTGACAAAATGCTCGTCTGAAGATGAACGACAGTACGACAAGCGACTGGAAGATCAAGAAGAATTTTCTTATAAGTCACCTGTCGCTCACTA